CATTAGCCACATGAAAAAGCAGCAAACATCCACTTCTGTCAGCTTTACTACAGAGTAGGTAACTTCCACAAATGGCAAGGATGAAAGGTTGGAGATGACATTAATTCCAAGAAGACTCACCAGCAACTACCCCTCAGAAATTTCAGTCCCTCTGAAGATAACACCCATGCTCAGTGTCTCCATACCATTAACAAAGCACTTACAAGTTTAAAAAGCGGAAAAACATTTTAAAAAAGAGATGCAGTGACAAAGTCTAACTAGTTTGTCTAACAGTAACAAAGTAAATTCAAGCCTTCCATGTCCTCAGCTGCTTTTCACTGTTTGATGGTACCCTGTCTTTCTCCTAAGTAGGAATAAAAGAAGCAATTTATCCCCTGTCTGGTTTTCAAAGACTGAAACACTTAAGTTTTTTTTTTTTAAAGGTTTGTTGGTAGTGATATCTTTGAATGATGATGCACTGCTATGGTATGGTTTTGTTTGTATCATACTGATGTCTATTCAAGCCCTAAGAAAATAATTTGTGAACCTTGTAAAGTTCTTTCTATGGAACAACATTTAAAATAAAATCAATAAATAATGTGATCCGAAGAGACAGTGAGCTGCTCACACTGCCCATGTTATTTCTAGTACAAGTCTCCCCTAGGCTCATAAACTTCCTGTCACTTGTCCACTAGACTTCAACACAAATTTGAATGATTCCACTGGACATAGTGAACTCAAAAGTGAACAATGAGAAACAGTCCTATGACATGATAGGAATTCTGATTTTTTTCAAGTACTGGAGCCATTGAAACAGCCAAAATGAAAGTGGCATTCCAACCATAGTGTATTTATACATAAGACTTTAAAATGTTTCAGAAGTTATCTTTCTTCCCCTCTGACAGCTCCTAGTTTTAATTCAGCCACTTCCTCCATTTTCATGATATCAAGGGGTTTTGTCCCTTTTCTTCTGTAGGCCAGGCTGTTAAACTACCCTATGGCACACAGAGGGACATAGAATAATAATTATTATTTAAATTATTTGAAGAAACGACAGAAAATAAGGGAAACATGACTTTCATTTCTTGCTCTCTGTTTCATTGCCTCCTATTGGCTAGGAAGCAAAGTGCATTTCAGATTTACAGGAGGGAAAGAAAACCACAACTCCCCTTTGAAATGGTTACTGGATGAGGATTCACAATTTCTCATTTGTTCTTAGTGCTATGATTACACATGGACAAGAACATCACAAAATAAAACATACTCTTAGTCATCTACATTGCATAGCTATGAGAAAGGAGTAAGAGGAGAGAAAGAGAGAAGACTGAACAGTTATTCAGTAAATGTAGAACCTTATAATTAATACAGTGATGTCTCATCACCATCACTGAGCTGATCAATATCACAATCAATATCCTCACTTGCAACTTCATGGGTATTTAAGGAGAACAAGTCATCACACATACTTTAAACCCTCACCAGCCATCCTTATATAAATCATGCTTTGCACTGAAATCAAATAACAAAAGCTCATCTGATCAACTTTTCTAATGTTTGCTTACAGGAAGTTACCTCCCATCACTTAAAGTAATTTAAATTTAGAAACAAAAATCTTCCAGTTTTGGTGAATAAGGGAAAAGAAAATGTTCTTTCAACTTCAGGAGCTTCAACTTTACCCACCAGAATAACTTTTTCCTCCAGTTCTTATTCAAAAGCTCCCTCAAATTCTTAACTTCTACATCCAAGGAACTACTCTGAAGGTTTTTCCCCCAAATTGTCATTTGGCATACCCTTACAGACTGACAAGCAAACACCTAAGCACTCTGAACATTAATACTCGTTTGCTGATGAGCTACAGATGCCAAGGCAGCAGCAACCAAAGCTGTGATGCTCTCTTATTCCTCTCTGAAGTCTGTCAGTTATTTCCTAAATTTCATTATCATCATTCCACTGTCTTGTATTTCCATATGCAAAACCATTGCAATATAATCTTGTATTTAGATCATTTCCTTTTTGGTTTTGATGGGAGTCTGTTTTATAAACAGAACAAGTTGGCCAAAAAAATTGCTTTAATATTCACTAAAATCATGACATACACTTGGAGAAAGAACAGATATAACAAACGTTTCCCCATAGAAATCCAACTTTCTACCACATGAAGCAAAACACACTCTTCAGCTATTTTAGCACAAGGAATATGTTGAACAACTTAGATTCAATTGCAGTAGCAGTGGCATTGTGTGCTGGTCAATTTACCAGAGTGCTCCATTGCTGTCCTCCTCGACCCAAAGATACGTAGACTTAAAAAGAAAAGAAACTATATTTGAAAGAAAAAAAGAAAAACACCGTTCCTTGAAAGGTCAGGAATGTATTACACAGACTCTGAGCACAGATCATAAAGCAACACAACACCAAGCTTGTTCTTTCAACTGTACTCAAAACCATTCATTTGTTTTCTTGTTATAAAGAAAATGTTGCAGACTGATCAGAACAATTTTTGTGGTGTACCCAATCTGACACATGAGTGTGATATAGCAAAAGGATATATGCAGGTATCTCCCATTTATATCTACATGAACATTTGATTAATTTCATCATGAATTAATGATAAAACATGCAAGTTGTGTTAAGCTTCTGAAAAGTTTGTAGATGTTTCTCATAAGCCTATTTACACATGAATACACACACATTAGGCATTTTACATTAACCTCGAACAGACTGATAAAACATACTTATTTGTAGTAACTTTCTGGAAAATTAGTTGGGAGTTATGTCAAATCCAAGCATTTTCAACTGAGACCAAACATTGGGAAGGGTTATAATGCATTATTTAATTTTGTTTCAAAAAAAAATTTAAATTTTATAGCAAGTACTGAAGAAATATTCAGGTGACAGCCTTTTCTAGCTTACATTTCTTTCCTGTTCCTTTTTCTGCCCCTCACTTTATGGAAGTCCTGTGGCTAGGATATTCACATGAATCATAGTCTTGATCTTCTTTGGCCTTGGCAAAGAATGTAATCTTTAACCAAGCTAAGGTAATCTTTTGTTCAAAGGTTGTCCCAAACATTCAAGAGAGCAGGTGTCCCTTTGAAGAAATCCTATTTTCTAAAAAATTGTTGAAAATATACTAGAGTGAAAACCAGAAGGAGCAGGTATGGAACTATGCAATTAGATTGTAGATTACTACAATTACAATTACTAAAATTACTCCTAATACTTGATGGATTTTGTGAGAGGCATCCAACACCCTTTACTTATATAATTTCATGCTTGTACAAAAATATCCGGGAAAAAATGTAGATTTCTTTAAAAATCTGGAAAATTATTTGCTTCAGACTGACTCAAATCAATTTATTTTCAGGTGAGCTTCTAAAAAAAAGAAAATACTATTTGCTATACCCCGATAAACCATATGTAAAACCATATGTTAATCCCTAAGACAGAAATATCAAGTTGTCCAACTCAGCAGTCAAAAACTTTGAGTATTAACAAGAACGTGAGAAGAAAAAGCACAGGAAGTCAAAGAGGAGTGAGAGGAATATGAAGAGACACGAAAGACTCCTTAAAATATACAACAATGTACTTCATTCCCTCCAAGAAAGGAAAAATACAGGAATGCATAATAAAAACAAGTATTAATATTGACTAGAACAAAGTGAGAAGACTGGGAGTGTCTGTTCTCCCTGATTTACAATTCAGGAATGCATACTGAGAGAAAGAACATCAGTTTCAAACTTGTAATCAAGGGTGGGCATTTTTGTTGGTTTGTTGGGGTTTTTTTTCCCCCAGATAGAACATATTGCTGAAGGATATTAGAACAGGAGAATTTTGATTATTTGACAACACTGTAAATTGAACAGCAAAAATTAATGACAACAAACTATTCTAGAAGTCCTACAAATTCAATTTGAGAGCCTAAAACATTAGATCCCCAATTCTGCTCCTTGTTCACTGATTTGTATTTCTAGTTGCAAATAGAAATACAGTGAAAGAAAGGACCACAATAAAAAAGCTTGGAAGCCACAGCCTGAAACAAATACTATTAAATGTAATAATAACTGAAGATCAATGAAGCTTATAGTGGAAAAGTAAGTGCTGAGTATTATAAATTCTCTGGTTCTTCTTTGACACTTCTAAAGATTGTTATATCCAGAGACAGACTATTTAACCATTATGAGAACTTAAAGAATGTCTCAAGTCACTGTCAAAGAAGGAAGATCCCATAAGTTAAGCCACCACAACAGGCACAGATGGCAAAGAGGAAGGCATTATTTCCGGGGCTAAATGAAGCTGAAGGTTTGGAATGAGCACACTGGACAAAATTCCACTGAGGGAACTGTGATAAGAACAGGATATATAAAAAAGGCCTAGAGAAAAGTGGTACCTCCAGAAGACCACTTTAAGACCCCCAGCACCAAGAAGACCAGAAGAAGAAGGCCAGGAAGACACCACAGGGATTTATGTGGTGGTGACTGTCTTTCTACTTAATCTCTCTGTCTCATTTACTGTTAAATAAAATCTGTGCTATTGACTTTGGCATATGGTCTGACATCCACCTTAATTTGGACAGAGGCATCTTTTAATAATCAGATCCTCACAGTCAAGAAGATCAAAGTGTGAAGCCACATGATTTTGCAATAAATTTAGAGATTAATCAACCACCTGCCCATCTCACTCTGTATTCTGTACTGGCTCTGCAAGTGCACATCTAGAGAAACAATCTATACACACAGAGAACTTGGGATCACAGACACAAAAGAGTAGCTCTTAATAGATCTTCTAATAGTTTGTAAACAAGGGATGTTATAAAGGGTGAAAAGAGTTAAGTAGATTCCACAAGAAATACTACTGAATATTAATCATGAAGTATGCATGAGACAAATATTTAGGATGCTGTTCCAGACCTGCTGACTCTGAATGCCAAGATGTAGCCATAATCACTACAACTTACATATAAATATATATATATATGTATGTTAAAATTAATATGTTCTTACATACTTAATATATTGGAATGTTACCTCTTTGCTAGTGCGTTTCCTTGCGTTCTTATTGGAACCAAACGACAAGTTTCACTCTACTGAGAATTTTGGCCTTTGTTTCTCCTGAAATAACAAAGAAAATCAGTGGTCATTCTTTTCGGCTGCCAAGTTTTCTGTCCTCTCCTCTGTGACAACCACGAAGTCACTCCCTGTAGGTATTCTCCTTCTGTATATAATCAGCCATTTTTTTTGCTTCTAGCTGCTGCTGAATTAGAGCCCAGCAGTGACACACATTTTCAGGTGTCATTGTTTGGTAGCCAGAAGAATTCATCATGGAAGCGAACGGGTTATTAGAATACACAAAGGTTGCAGTTTTCAGGCTTTACTGCTGAAGCCTAACAAAGTACATCACTCACCAGCTGGTTCATGCTTTCAAGTTATTCTTTGCATTTTTATCACACAGAAAGTTACTTTCCTATTAAACGAATGCTGAGACTCTGGTGCACAAATCATCTGACTTAAAGAAATAATTTTTTCCTACCTAGTGTATATTCCATCCTGTTTATGCCCTGCTGGAACTTTTCAAGAGCTTTTATTCCACTATTTTGTCAATTTTGCTTTTAACATTGCTGGTATAACACCTCTCCTCTGCATTTGCAAGAAAAGCCAGTTAATTTTCCACATTGGCACCAGTCAGCCAATGGTTCAACAGAGACTACAGCCCTATGCTTTTGAACTGAAGAGTACAGACAGTTTGTTTATCCTGTGCTGACCCTTAGTCAGTGCTGGGAAGGCACAGTGGAACAAAGCAGGTGGAAGGGAGCCATCCTTGCACTATTAACTGCACAGGCAGAGTACTCTGAGCCCTCCTCTCTGCTAGAAAGACACCTCACTTAAACCAGGCTGGTGCACTCAGCACAGCATCACATGCACTGTTTGCTATTCTCTCACACCTAGAATTCTGACAGAAATCTACTTCACTCATTGCCTCTGTTGCACCTGAAGTACTGTGTTGAACATGAGTTTCTGTAAAGCAAATGACTCTCCAGGTGCAGATGCAAACAGGATCATCTCTACGTGATAAGTCATTCCTATAAAAGAGGATACAAAATATTCTGGTGCCTTGATACAGATGGTTCCCCATGTTCCCACAAGTGGGTCATGATTTATAAAGTGTGGGTATGATTTATAAAGGACAATCTCTCCTATTCTGGCATCAATAAATTCAACAAAGACATTGTGAAGGAACAATTAAAGTTGCACCCTCTCTTGCTTTTGAAAATGCACAATTCCTGCTGCTTTTTAATTCAACTGCCTTACTGACACTGTCCATTCATTACCAAATCAAAATCTCACTTGTTTTTGTCTTGAAAAACAGCTTTGAGATTTAATTTATATTTTACTTGTTGTCAACTGCCAATTGACCCCAAAATAGGTTTTTCTCTGACCTTATTGAAAATCTTTGAAGCCACGTATTATGTTATGTATTACACTATTTATAAAACATCTGTCCTACAGTTGACTGAAAGGCCTTGCAAATTACTTGAAGTTTTGTTCATTCAACACTAATCTTCTAACTCAAAGCCTGTCAGTACAGTACATTGCCTGATAGCTTCGTTTGTACAGTTTGCCAAAATGATCATAATACTTTTTGATGCCAAACAAAGGAAACATTTTGAATATCATGTCTTCAAGTGTCTAGTAAAACAAAAGCCATCCATTCATTCTCTGAAGAATATTAATAAATATTCATCTGCACTATAACTAAATGCCATCTATGTTAGACTGGACATATTTTTGATAGCTCAGAATCAGCCTAGAGAACTAATGCTATTTATTTTTTGCCTTCCTGACAGAACGTCTTATTTGATTTTCCTGCACAGCATACAGTACTCAAACCTTGTCTTTGCAATAAAAGCAAACTTTACTTAATTCACCTTTTCTCTGGAATATTACATAGACATTCATACATAGAAAATTAAATATTTTTATCTTCTTTAAGTCTGAGAATTTTTTCTCTTATGAATTAGAATACTTATTGTATTTTCACTCAAAATACACAGGGTAATACTTTATTCACTCTTCCACTATTCTATGTTTAATATGAAAAGAGGTCAACCTTCTTGCTTATATCGCTTTTGCCAGATATTTTAACTATACTGAACAGAAGCAGAATATTTATGTACATTTGAGATGCTTCATTAGTTTCATAAAGTGTGGTAAAATATACTAATTTTTAATCCAGTTTATTACTTTAGGAAACTGATCCATAGGCTGCTGTTTCCTTCTTCATGGTCCATTCCCTTGGACGAATATCAGCACATCCACAGATTTCTGCAGAGGTGAAGGCAGGTGGCAACTGCTGCAAAGAAAAGAAAAAGAAAAAATGGGAGGCTGCTACCAAGATTTGCCTGTTTTTCAGTGCTGAGTGCTTCTGCTGCCTGATTGCTATAGAGACTAAAGAAGGAGCTGTTATTAGCAACTGTGGGCAGGCAGAAACAGAAGGGAGGAAAGCATCCCTAGTTAAAATGAAAATTTCTACTTGAAGAGGAGGAAGGATGAAAGGACTGGTGGTGGCAGGGCAAGACAGAAAAGAAAAGAAAAAAAATTAAAAGAAAAAAAAACTGAGAAGAGTGAATTTGACAAAAGTGGTGCACATGGAGAGCCATATGGTAAACCTTGACACTCCCTCAGGCTTAATGGGATGGGGGAATGCCATTCTCTGTCTATTAGCATTTTCTAGGGCAATGCGTGCTCTCTGCCACATGAAGATGCTTCACAGACATGCAGTCTCTGATCAATGCCATATCCTTATTTCATCATGTTCCCAATAAATGAGGAACCTACCAAGCCACTGAGCAGTTAATAACTATGGGTTATCTTGGAAAAACATAGCAAGGGTTCAAAATTCAGAATCAGCAAAAGTAAATTTGTAATAATTATGGACAACACTTTCTAAAAATCTGCACAACTACTGTTACTGCAAACAGTCTGGTATTATAACTGTTTTTAATCATTGATATTTTACACCACCTATTATGCATTATAAACTGTATAGGGTCAATAGAACATAGCAATAACATGTCATAACAGGATTTATGACTGGATCTCCAAGATGATAACATATGACAGCTAAAACAAACATTAAATCATACTTTTAAATGGAAAAAAAAAAAACCCAAAAAAACCACAGAAAACCAAAAAACACCCAAACCACCAAACCTGGAGTTGGGTTTCCCATATTTTTTGTTGCATATGCAGTCACAGGCATTTATAAATAAATATATATTCCAGCAAAAGCTCAAACATAGATAGAAGTATGATTGCTATAAGTCATAAAGTCCATATGTTCATAGATTTCATATATTAATATGAAGGGAGAGGTACTGTGATTTTTTTCTGTTTCTCTACTATTCATCAGAGATCAAACACATGGAATTTTGAGGATAATCTTTTTTTCACATGTTTGTACTTTTTCAGACACCCCAAGAGAACTTCCATGCTGCAGAAAATCACTGGATTTCTGTGGCTGCCAAAAGCTGTGACACTGCCTACACCATGAAGCATTCAGGTAAAGAAAATAATACAGACCTGCTCAACTTCATTGCCTCCTGGTACAACCTAATATTGCAAGTTGTTCTTCAAACTGTAATTTGAGATTTCTGACAGTGAAAATTTAGAATATCAATAGCGCTTTATGATTTGCAGTTTTGTACCTCATATGTAGCATTTTCCATGATGTCCAGCCTAAGGATTCTGCTTTTATGTTTTCAATTCAGCAGTGGTCAGGAGCACCCATCAGGTGAAGGATTCACATATAGGAAGTACTGTAAAGAGGTAAAGAAAAATATTTTTTAAATAACCATCTCTCAAAAGTTCTCAAAGGGTCAGTAAAAACATGAAATCAGACACATGCTTTTCTTTACAGATAATGTAAACACATAACACAGATAATGTTAACACAAAATGATACAGGGGACTCTTTTGAGTCTGGTTTTGATGAAGAATAGATCTGAATGAGTGATTTTATCCACTTGCACTTCATTTAAATGGTGAAATCAAACCCTAGTAAGATATCCAAAACATTATAGGAAATATTGAAGAACAAGGAACAATTCCTGTAATAAGGAACCATTCAATCTGCCCAGTTTTACAGTGTTTCCTTTTTAAAAATGGTTTAATTTCAAATTACTTCTATTACTTCTTCTTGTTCTGTTCAGACAAAATGCTCCTTTATTAAGTTTACTTTAACAATATTAAAGAATGTCAAGATTTTCATGGTCATCAGTTTCAATGATTCCCATGCACAGATAGCAAGTTCTATATTCATAGCAATTAAAGCCACTACAAAATACATTTCATTAGGTTAGAGAGTAAAAGTATAATCAGATACAGTGTATGGCATTCTTGATTTTAGCTCAAAGATACCTGAGGTTTTCTCACCTTTTATATCTAATAGCATTTCATTTGTGAATTGCACTACATATTCAATTAAAGAGTGGCTGAAGTTGTGGTAGAATATATAAGTGTAATGACACTCTAGATATTATCACTAGAAATTTTAAATTTTTGTAAAGCTGCATTCTTTACATTTTCCAATACATGTGACATATCTATCATAAGGCACTGTATTAAAATATTTGTATTCCTTTATTTTTTTTTATTTTAAAATAGAGAGCTCTATCTTCTTACCTATATGTTACAAACAAAAGAATCTTGCCCCAAAAGTTTTGTTAAAACCTCCTGTCTTAGCTCACACAAAGACTTTACAAAGATGTCCATGGTGAAAATGGTAAACATATTAATGTTACACTTCTATCAAAGCCAGCATATGGAGGGCAAAGAAAACTGAAGTTACAGAGGAAGCTCAATTTCTCAATATATAGGAAATAAATTATCAGAACTGTCCCATTAGTAACACATCAGATCCACCATCACTTTGCTATTTTCAAATAAAATTGATAAAGAGAATGGAGACAAAAACTAAAATAGATTATCTGAGTTCTGGGACTCTAAAAGCAAAACTAGAAGCTCAGACCTTGTTTTACCACAAAATAATATATATTTATTTTGCTTGAGGAAGAGCCACAGACTGAGTCTTACCTCATTTATGGTACTTCCTCCCCTAGAATTTCTTCTAGGAAACAATAATACAACCTTTGTATTAGAAATAAAGAATAATAAACTTATATGGCACAAAATTTTTTAGACAGTTTGACATGAAACCTGCACGTGCTGAAAAAGTGTTCCCACATTAACATATAGAAGATGCAGCAAAATGTCAGAATAAAGCACTGATTTTTGTGTGTGTGAAATCTGCTACATACAAATTTTTCCTTTGTATGGCAACAGGGAAAAATGAAAACATTTTGTATTTCAACAGAAGAAAAGTTGACATATTTATTATTCCTCACAATTTTTTTTTTTATTTATGTGATATTTTTATCCTAGATAATGTACCTTATTTTAATATACATACAACCTAATTCAGGAATATCTACTAACTGAGCTACTAACAGAGAAGTAAAATATAATTAGACTATATCCAGCACAAAGTGACACAGATTTTACCAACTTATTATTGAAATTATGGATTATGTCCTAAAAACTCAGAAATGGTTCTTGTTATTGGAAGTCTATTCTTTGATATTTCCTAACGTTGAGAAATACCTAAGCTACTTGAATATTGCAACAAAGGGTCTTATTACAAAATTTTTATGTAAGCCAGTTTTTCTATCCTGATTATAATTAGGAATAACAACCACACACAGTATCTAAAGACGAGTTCCAGTGGCACTGTTGTCCTTAATTTTCTACTAAATTATTAGGTGAACTTCATAAATTTTAGCAGTCATTTAAATGAAAAACTACCTCTATTGGCTAAAGCCAAGAACAGTTCAGATGTGCTAAATCAGGTTCTCCAAACAGCTGTGCCAATGTTCCTCTGTCCAAAACTGCTCGTCAAGTCTCAGGTCTTTACTGAGCAGTCTGCCAGCTACATGAAGTTATGCCAGATTGTATGCAACATAAACAAACATCTACTTGGACTTAGTCAGACCAGCAAACATGATGCATTTGTGTCCCAGGGTCAGATTTGTGCCTAACCCTTCAAAAATATATCGTAGTGTATTGACTAACTGTGCCATCTAGCTCTCTTTTAAGGTAATCCTATTATGTAATGAATTATTATGAGAGATTTCAGCACCGGTGAATTTGAATTAAATAATCCCTCTAAGCAGTTGGACTGTAAAAGAAAATATTTCTGCTGTACCTGGGCCAAGTCTTTAAAGAGCATAGTGTTTTTGTTTTTTAAGACAGATTAATTTAACATCATTACATATTTTTATTAGCTAAGTATTCAAACATGGGGCTAAATCTTATACATTTTCAGTCAAGTCCTCTAAATAAACCAACTGAAAAAAAGTTAATAAAACTGAAAGGTATGTATGTGCTAATTTTGGAAGGTAAGCAGAAACAGACTTGTCTAAATCTTATAAGCTGTAAAGTTTTTCCTCTACATTTTTATCACTTAACAGTCATTGAAGCACCAGGCTTCACCTAACAACCCATTGAGTATGGCACAGAAGCAAAGATTTATCACCAAACCTGGTTCAGCTGTCATCTGATATTAGCCCCTGGAGTGAAAAATAAAACAGCAACCAAATGAGGAAAAAACCCACAACAAAACCACTCCCAGCTTATTTAACAGGAAACACTTCAAAGGGCATTGAAACCAATTCAACAAACCAACCTAAAAAGAAAGGAGAAAAATACAACATTAGCATGAAAATACTGCAACTACAAGACACACAATTATGGTAATGTAAGGAATAAAAGAGTTTGAGGTTCCTTCTGATACAAGGACTCAGAGGTGAATCCTTCACACAGCCAGGCTTGTACTTGATAAGCAGTAACTGCTGAAAGCTCCAGATCAGGTGTTCTCTCAGCAATTGTTATTGCTTGAAAAAGAAAAAGCAAAAAACAGTATTAATGGCAAACTGTATTTTATTATATGAGGTAGGGAATGACTCCATGTGTAATGACCAGTCTCTGGGAGATGGATTCTGGGCAAGATTACCTTTTTAGCCAAAGTAGGTCAAGTGGTAAGACAAAGCATTCATGACAAGTCAAATAATGGACTGGACAGCTCTTAGCTAAGAGGTGGGAACACTTGACTGGTCAGGAGGTTCAGCTCATCAGGTTCTCCCACTAATACTGAGCACAGTGGCAATGAGAGGTTTTCCTGCGGGCAGAAATACTGATGCATGCTTGTGCCCACCTGTGAAGGTATGTGTGAAAACACACATAAAAAAAGGAATGTGGAATTCTATAAACTTAAAACCACACATAAACCACACTATTTCTCTCTGATTTCTTCTGGTTTATTTCTGTCTTTAAGGCTTTTAAATGGACAAGAGACCAATCAAGCATTAATC